CAGTGGTTGTGTCAGTAAAGCGGGCACCCACTGATATGATTTTCAGTTCTTTGATGTCTGTAACTGATCACTTCTACACCTCATGGTCAGACAGGTTGTTGTGCTTCTTCCATGTGTAAGTGTATAAATTTTAACTTTTAAACTGTAGATACTTTTTATGTCTATAAAAATAGAGTAAATGGCTCCTACTTTAGTGCAAGGTTCATTTAATAACTGCCCTTTGTTCAAATGGGCCCATTATGAGCTGAAGGTTGAATGTGCTGTTTCTGAATTTTTTATTCTAATGATCCCTGGTGGAGAAAGTAGACGCCAAGTCAGCTCACTATATGATTTGGCCTGATAATGGGTAGATCTGAAACTGCGCTGAACATGGGGTGCAATACTTGAGGAGGTTTTTACTTTGGAGTTGTGATGTCTCTTTTAGTGATATGTGCTACTTTCATTAGTGCCACAGATTAATAGAGTGACATTGAAATATTCACTTAATCATCTTTGAGGCTCATTTTTTCTTATTTTCAAAAAATTAATCCAATTACATCATTATTTGGGTCCTTTTTGGCTTTGAGCTCCTATCAGTGTAACGGGATTTTTATCTTGAACTAAGTCCATCTTGGATTTTTACTTAGAATCTCAGCACCTGATAATTCAATTTACATTTTCATTGTACTGCAGCCTACAAAGGCATTTCTAAAACATTTGCTAGATTCTAGTTGTCAGTCTTTGCCAGTTATCATCATAATCATCATTAACAATTTTTTTTTTTTTTACCTCTAATGTGTATTGGAAAGGAGCCCTGCTGCTACTGGTTAGATATTGGGCTGCTGGTCACAAGGTCACCAGTTCAAACCCACCAAGCACTCCACAGGAGAAACGAGTTAGAAACCAATTGCAGTTGGTTTGGCTCGGGTTCACTCACATAAAGACTTACAGAAACATGACATAGAGTCACTTAGAGTCAATTCTAAGGTAGTGAGTTGCCTGTTTTTTTAAATGTGCATTGGTACCTGAGTCAGAGAGACATATATATCTCATATGTGAAGGGGAGAAAGTGAATACTTAGACTAGCCATAGATTTTTGCAGGAAAAGTGTGAGCCTTTTAGCTTCGATGGCTTTTGTTGGAATGCTCTAGTTTTATGTTCTGGGATTACAACATGGTCATGATCTTATGCTTTGAAAATAAAAATAAATAAAACAGAATTGTGAAAAATGTGTTTGTGCTTGTTAACTTGTTTGGTATGTCAATATCAGTTGGCAGTATTTCCTTTTGAGTGAGTCACCATTTTAAATGTAACTGGAACAATTAGATGAATGAGTACTATGAAAATAAAATTAAGGTTAATGTTTTCTTGTGAACCTTTAGACAGTAAAATGTAATTCACTATAAAAACAAGTTGCTCTTAGAGGAATGAATGTACAGTAATCCATTAGAGATGTTAAGTAGCTGGATTAATTTTTTAATGACAAAGATATAAAGATGCTGAATTATTTTTTAATTTACTCAACAGTATTTAACACCAACAAGACTAATTTTCATATAGGATCCCTGTTTTTTGCACACTGAGTGGACAGCAAGTCAAAGAACAAAAGATCTTTGTTCCCTGTCCTTTCTCCTCTATTGAATTAAGACCTCATTCTTTCCTGGGTCTATCAGTTAATAGTATCAGGAAAATCAAAGTCTTTACTACCCTGGTTCCCACTACAATTATACCGTTAGCTAAAAATGCCATCTATTCATCTTAAGCTGCACAAAAACCTAAAGCTGTTACTTAGCACTCCCATTGTCGTCTTCTGTAGGCGTTTATGTCCATGTTCCAGATCCTGACCCAGGAAGGATGGGTCGACGTGATGGACCAAACCCTCCATGCGGTGGGACATATGTGGGCTCCTGTTGTTGCCGTCTACTTCATTCTCTACCATCTCTTTGCCACTCTGGTGAGTTTCGTATTGACTCTTGATTTTGTCTTGGAACAATCAATGGCACCAGCACTAATGTTTGTGCGGACGATTGTCAGTTAGAGGAGTCCTGGTGGTGTAGATGGTTACACATTGGGCTGTGAGCCACCAAGTCAACTGTTCTAACCCACCAGCTGCTTCCCAAGAGAAAAAGGTGACTTTCTACTCCCCTCAACCATTGCAGTCTTGGAAACCCACGGGGACAGGTCTACTCTGTCCTGTAGGGTTGCTATGAGTTGGATTCCCCTGGCTGGCAGTGAACTTGGTTCAGTTTTTTTATTCAGATGGCCAGAAGACAAATGCTGAGATGAAAGGCTTTGTGGTACTGCTTGCATTTTGTTCTGAACTGAAGAACTACATGAGGAACTGGATGATAGATTCATCAGGTCAAAGGGTGTCTTTCATCAGCTACCAGATGTTGCATGAGAAAAACCAAAGCGGAAACCCCACATTCACAGACCGGTGTAGTTAGCCCTATGTATTCACACCCCACGTGATCTAAGGATCAAAGCGGAACGTCCTTATTATTATTTTTTTTATCACGTAGAGACACTCTCTTCCATTTCACACCATCCTCTTCGCGGCTGTAATTAAAGTGAAGACAGATGCGGAGACCTCGGGGTGCAGTCAGTTAATTAGACATCAGCACAGTGCTCGGATGCTGGATGCCACGGCAAGAAACACATGAGAGTAAGGGGGGAAATAATAATGAGGACACATTGCTGCGAGCGCCATCATAGCATGGTGAGATGGAGTATAAAGTCCAGGGGGGAAATGACTTCTGTAATCCAAACCGACTTCCTTCCATAGATTTCTCTTAGAATGGGGAAGGGATAGAATTATGAAATGCAGCCTCAGGGATGTGTTTCTCGTGCCTTTGTGCTGCCAAAGGGGTGTCTCCATTCAGTTAATCCAGTCATGTACGTAAGGAGCAAATAGTAAGTTAAAGGACCAAGTTCAGGGCCAACTTGCTACCCTTTATCAAGTATACATGAAATAATAACAACTGCTATTGCTTACCAAGTGGCAAGATAAACTGCATATTTTAGAACCGCCAAACTAAGTAATAACTCCATTTTACAGATGAAGAAATGGATAGTCAGCCGCGTTAAGTAATTTGCCCAAGAAGATTTTAAATGTGAGATCCAGAGTGGTCTAAGGTCTATCTGATCTCAGACCCCATAGTCTTTCGTCTACTTGTTGCTGCTTCCCTAGATAATAAAGCTTAAAATTATTACTGGAAATCTCTTCAGTGAGTCAAACCTCTTCCCAAGAATCAGCGGGGCAAAACAAATTCCTTATGATCTCTAAGGTCCTTTCCAGATCTAAATACTTATGAGCCAAGATTGCTTAAGAAACTTAGACTTTTTAAGTTGCCTTTGCTGTGGGAAAAGGTTTCTAAACATCTGTCAAAAAGATTAGGGGGCTATATTGTTTTGTAGTATAAATCTCTAGCTTCTAGCAATTGAATGACATAAAAACAGAGCAGTTTACTATAAAAATACTCACAAAAGGAAAGATTTGGGTAGTGGGAATGAGGCTTGACATTTTGTAAGAGATTTAGGGATGCTTGTGCTTGCTCCTATATATAGACTACTTGCCCTGGGCTCTTTATAGCCTATCTTTCAGAACCTTTAAGTTGATATCATGTATTCATTCATCCAACTATCATCCATTTCTCCACTTATTTCACTAATGAATTGACTATGAATCATTAAAAGACTATTTCACCAAAGCGCTATTGATTGTGGACCAACAACAGGGCAGATTTTATTGAGAGGACCCCGAGTGGCTTACTGATTTAAATGACCTGGCCAAAATACACATCTTTTTTTTTTTTTATTGTAATTTTCAAAAAGTGTTCTAAGTTTCAACTACAAATGGAAATCTCTTGTTCTGTTAACTTTTTTTTCTTAATCTGTAAATCAATTGAAACTTGAACAATCAGGAAGGGCTCCTTGATATAGTACCAAAGTATGAACTTGGAGCCCTAAACTCTAGACTCTGGGTCTAACGCTTCTGACCATTAGATATGTGACACTGGAAGAAGCAGCAAAGCCTCCCAGATCTCTACGCTGTGTTCTATCTGAATGCAGACTAAGGATGCCTGTGACCCCTAATCTTCAAGGTTGCCATGTCCATGCATGCATTCAGCTTATAGTCTTCAGCATGTTTGAGCCGAAGACGACGAAGACCATGTTTTCATAAAGTCTCCTTTCTGCCCAAGAGTCAGTGAAAAGTTACCGGAGCAAATGTGCTTTTCAAAGTCCCCTCACATATGCGTGCAGGAGATAGATATGGTTCCTTCAAAGCCAAACATTCCAACGATGAACAATTCTACCCATAATCCTCTCATTAATTTACCTTGTAATGCGCATTGTGGCAAAATAATTTGCTTTTGTTGACACTACAAAGCATAACACCACCACCCTCAATTTTTTTTTAATCTTTATAAATATCCAGGCTTTGCTTTTTTGCCTTGTGTACATGGCCAGTGAGGCCACACAACCTGGGGAGTCCCTGATTTAGTCTTCTAAGGGACAGGCATGTGCTAAGTAGCCAACATGTTTTGCTGCAACTTGTTCAGGAAGACAAAACAGTGGGCTATTTCATCACCCCCAGGAGAGCAGCCCACCAAAAATTTTTTTTCATTTAAAGCTTGTGTGTAGTAGATGCATATTCATATTCATTATTTTTGCCCCTTTAGGATGTCTCTCTCTTCAACTAGGCATATCGCCAGGCTTTCTGACCTGACTATAGTTTGCCGACTGCTTATGAAATGCGTCCTCCCTCCCTCTGTTTTACCCATGATTGGGGGATGAGGTGGACGGATGACTTAACTCCTTGAAAGATTTTTTTTTTTTTGCCTTCTCTCTCTCAGAGGTTTTTTCCTTTGCTTTTGTTCCGAAGGAAAGCCCTGTGATGTGAATACTGAAGAGAGAAAATGTAATTAAGTGTTCATTGTGGATGGTCCTTTGAAGTGCTTACATTAACACAGCAATCTTGATTCTGCCTCTGTAGTGGCAGTTTTCTGAGAATAGTCATATTTTGCTGGCAAGAAATGGGCATTCCAAAGTGTAAATTAAATAACGTGATTTTACAGAATTTACTTAAGAGTGCGTTTGTGTTCAGCAGAGCCCATTTTGCACTGCTCTGATTACATTTGACTCTTGGTTGACCTATATGAAAACTGAAATTGTTTCAAACTACACGCTGCAAGACCGCTTAGAATAGTGTGATTATAAACAGTACAAAGAGAACACCAAAATGGAAAACGATGAGTAATAACAACAGTATGATTCCTAATGTGCTTCTTATTGTGTGCTTCAAAATAACTTTAAAAAATCAAATGATTAATAACACTCACAGTAGAGAAAGAAAAGGGAAAAAAAACACATTAGGGGTGACATTTCAGCTGAAGGCTCACCTGTAAACTGTAGAAAAGGACGAGAAAATAGTAAAACATACTATGGAAAAATGAATGAAAAGGGAATGATCCCTAGGGCAAAGGCACGGCTATCGGCACAGCTATCGGCACAGCTAGAGCATATGCAAAAGAAACAGAGAGGCATTCTCAAAACCGAGAAAATCCACCCTACAGTGAGAACGACACCCGCTCAACATTAGGAACCTTAAGTTCCGGAAGCCTGAGGCATGTGAGCTCAAGAGTGAGAACCATTGGGTTGCTGGTTTGTGTAACAAAAATTGGAAAAAATAGTGATACTTAACAATACCATTGCATCAGTGTTTATTGAATTTGCTGACCTTGATTATGAGTAATGGAAGGAAAACAAACTTAACTGTTCATGGTTAAATGTAGGTAGTACTTAGTTAATGCTTGTTGTTAGCTGCTGTGGAGCAATGAACCCTGACACAACTGAAGGAAATACGGCCTGGTCCTGCACCCTCCTATGACTGCACACTGATTGGAGGGTTTCCACTGGCAGATTTTCAGAAGTAGATTTGGGGCCTTTCTCACTGATGAGTGTTACTCTTGAAACTAGTGCAACATCAGAGCCACACACAAGCCTCCACTGACAGGTGATAACTGTGCTTGAGTTGCCTGACTGGGCATTGCACCCAGGTCTCCCTTGAGCAGTTGAGAATTCCACTGGTGAATGGTTCGTGGCTCTAGGCAAACCTGTCTCTTCAATAGAGTATGAAGGGCAAGAGAAGGACACGGTGGAGGGAGAAAAACCGAGCTGTGATGGAATGGAACAGTACTGAACATCTGCTGAGACCCACTAAAGGAGCCACACTGAACATGGAAAGTGATGCTTTTGAAATCTGCTAAATGGGGGGACCAAAAGCTCACTCGCATGTTGTCAAGTCATGCATAAAAATCTAACAGCGGGGCGTCTGAGGCTCCCAAGAGATATGCGACACTATTCCCGTTGAACGCATTTTCAATACTAAAGAAACCCCAAACTTGGAAATGTTCCTTACAATCAGTAGAAAATAAAGAATTAGATACTTGCAATAGTTTAATAGTTACATTTCACTTTTTTAATAATACTGTATCAATATGGGGCACAATAAGGAAATGCATACATAACTGATTGGAATTCAACTATTTCAAGATGGGACATAAATTCAAGACCTGATACTACTGAAGGAATGCATGAAAGTCATGAATGACTCCAGGAATTGACAGAATAGCCATTGAAATGTTTCAACAAGCTGATGAAGCACTGAGAACACTCACATGCCTATGGCAACAAATATGGAAAACAGCTACCTGGCCAACTCACTAGAAGAGATCCACATTTGTACCCATTCCAAAGAAAGGTGACCCAACAGTAAGTAGCACTCACTGAGCAATACCATACACAAGTAAAATTTTGCTGAAGATCATTCGACAACGGTTGCCCAGTACATCTACCAGGAGCTGTCAGAAATTAGAGGCGGATTCAGAAGAGGTGCTGCAATGAGAGATGTCACTGCTGACACCAGATCCTGGGTGCAAGCCGAGAATGCCA